ATCAATGACAAACATTTCGAAAGATCGTTACGCAAGTTCTAGAGATGTATATCACATAAGTTCATCACAAAAAAAAAAATAGGAGTGTATGAAAAATGCACACACTTTCAATAGGCTCAAAAACTCACATAGGATGTATATGGTCACTAAATTCACATATGAAGCTTTAAGTCATACTTTAGTTTCACATTAACAAGGCTATGTGCATTTGGTTTTTCAAAGATGATCAAACATGTACAAAACTAACAAGAGAATTAGGAATTTCACCAAACACATGTTAACTAAGTTCTTGATGATCATGGTTCAAATTTGATCCAATTATATCATTGAGTCGGGAAACTAACAAAAATCTAATTCAAAACAATAAGGGAAACAAGACAATATTTTTGGATTTTTAAATTTTCCGATTTTTTTTTTTATTTTTATTTTATTTTTTTATTTTTTATTTTATTTTTTATTTTTTTAAGAAAACAAAAACTAACAACACAGAAACAAATGAAATTCTAGAGATTTCTACCCCCACACTTAAACTTGACATTGTCCCCAATGTCAGAAAACACTATAACGCAAAATAAAAATAAAATAAAATAAAAAAATAATAAGAAACATAAAAACGCAATTGGACTGAAAACTTCCCTAATTTGCAGTAAAATCAAGCGATGACCCCCAAGCTAAAATTCTGCAATCAACTTCAAGGGTGGAAATAACCAAAAGTTCCTGCAAAGAAAAGAAATAATTCAGTTAAGTACGCAAGAAAATTAATTAAAAAAAAAAAAATTGCAAACGAAAAATTGAAAATTACGATAAAAGATAATGAATAAAACTAATAAGTAATCATTGGTCGTGCTTGTTGACTTTCCACAGCTTTCCTCTTGAACAGGGTGACACTTAGCTTTTTACTTGCAAGTGATGATTTGATGATATTGTACGGCGAAGCTTTGCTCTTTGGTGATGTTGCAGTTCCTTATTTGTTCTCCAAGCAGATGTGGCAGCTTCTCTAGTTCCTCAGCTCGGACTCCTTCCGCTGGGATGATTTGTGCAAGCTGCATTCTTCTCTGCTTGTTTCCTCTGCATGGCGGGGGCAGGCACGAGGGAGAGGTGTTGGTCTGTTTCTTTCTTCAATCTTTCCAAGTGCCCACCTCTTGCTCTCTTTCTCCTTGTCCTTAGTTGAGGATGAATCAGCACGTTGTCTCCACATGCTTCGAGGTATCATCTTCACTTCCCTTATAAGTGAGAAACAAAGAGAAAGCATAAGATGATGAGTACTCGAGAGCAAGGGCTGGCTGGAGAAAGGACAGGGAGAAAGCATGATATGAGATACTCTTGCTTTCAACCTTTATGATATGAAATACTTTTGCTTTGAATGGGTTGTTCGCAGGAGTATCCCAAGGAATGAGGAACAGAGAGTGACTCGAGAGGATTCTTTGGGAATGCATTTTCGGAGATGAAGAGGTGTTGAGAGGGTATGCTGAGAGAATGTGCTTTTGCTGTGGAAGGCCAAGGTAGAAACTTATAGGACTTCTCTTCACAACCGGAACTGTTCTCTCACTCATTGTCGGCAGCCGGTGGATGGATGAATAGTACAAATTACGCGCTTTCTGACAAAGCTGCCCGTAATTTCCGCAAAGCAGATTCCTCATTGATATCTGGAATCGGCGCTTCGAGCTCTGAGCATCGTCGATTGTAGAGGTAGCATGTGACACGTGCGGATAAATCTGGAAAAGAAGATTTTCCCGTGGGTTGAAGCCTAGCTTTTGAGAAAACTAGCGTGTCTTTGACTGTTGAATTTCCCTCTTCGATTTCTGAATTGGTGCTTCGACAAACTGCCCGAGATTTCCGCAAAGCAATTTGCGTGTGTGACAAGTGACGACACGTCTGGACAAATTGATCTTTTGAAATCCGGGGTTCGGCTCGTGGTTTCTGAGCAAGCCCAGCCTTTAAGAAATGAAACGCCTCTTTTGAGAAAAGAATCCGGCTTTTGAGAAAGGAAACTCCTCTTTTGAGAAAAGAATCAGACGTTTGAAAACGGAGCCCCGACTCTTCGATTTGCGAGAGGACGCTTCTCTGAGGAGCGCCTCTTTGATTTCTTCCTTTTTATAGAGACGTTAAGCTTGTTCCACAACACACTTGAGCTCCCTCCTGTAAACATTCCCTTCTTGCACTTCCAAAATCTTAATCATTCCGACTCTCTTCTTTCTTCACCACCTCTGAAAAATGTCTGGCCCTTCCGATCGTCGTTTTGACTTGAACATTGGTGAAGAGGCAGCTCCGCCTTCACCAGACAACATATGGCGCCCATCCTTCATATCCCCTACCGGTCCCCTTACCGTGGGGGATTCGGTGATGAAAAATGATATGACAGCTGCGGTGGTGGCTCGGAACCTTGTCACCCCAAGAGATAACAGACTGCTCGCTAGACGATCTGATGAATTGGCGGTTAAGGAGTCTCTGGCTCTTAGCGTGCAGTGTGCGGGTTCCGTATCCAACATGGCCCAACGCCTATATGCCCGAACCCGTCACGTTGAATCCTTGGTGGCTGAAATACAAAGTCTCAAGCAAGAGATTAAAGGGCTCAAGCATGAGAATAAGGAATTGCACAAGCTCGCACACAGCTATGCTACCAACATGAAGAGGAAGATTGACCAGATGCAGGACACCGATGGTCAAATTTTACTTGATCATCGGAGGTTTGTGGATTTGTTCCAACCGCATCTGCCTTCGTCTTCTGGAGCGGCACCGCGTAGTGAAACTCCAACTGATCAACCTTTGCTGCCTCCTCCTTCTGTGGCCCCGCCGACTGCTGAAGCCCCGCCTACTACTGAAGCACCACCCGACCAATGAATACTATTAGTTTACATCATTGTAAAATATTTGTACTTTTTTTTTTTTTTTTTTTTTTTTCATTAATTTTAAATTTTATCTTCTTTTTTTTATTTTTTTATTTTTTATTTTATTTTATTTTATTTTTATATATATGTAAATTAATGTAAAGAGACTTTGGTTAACCTTCCCCCACACTTAAACTAAATAACACAAACTCACAGAAATCAACCAAATAACACAACTAACTAAACAAAACAAAATGAAAGCATTAAAGATAAGGGTGTAAAAATGCAAATCTGATTGGGTTAGCGATTCCAAAGTCTCTCTTCGTTGAATGCTTGGGTTGCCTCCCAAGAAGCGCTTGATTTAACGTCTTTAGCCGGACGCATCTTTCCTTTAAATTTCCCTCGGCTCCATTTGAACCTAAAATCAAAGAAAGAAAAATAAATCAAATATCAAAAGTAAAATACACAAACACCAATATAAACATAAACAAAAACAAAAATAAAAGGATTAGCAAAGTTGCTAATCCCCGGCAACGGCGCCAAAATTTGATGTGAAAATTACTTGACACACAAATTAAACCCTCTTTTTGACAGTTGTAGTATAGATGTAAGTAGGGTATCGTTCTAGGCCGGGGATTAGGAGGGATTGCTAATCTATTCTAAATTAATTTAAAAATATTAAATAAGACTCAAGGACACAAAATTAGGCTAAAAACTCTAATAACTCGAAACACACTTAAAATGACTCAAAATAATGAAAACAATTAAATTAAACACTAGGAACTGAAATGGACGGAAATTAAATTAAAAGACTAACAATAAAGAAAAACTAACTAAATAATATAATTTAATAATGGATGGGTGTTTGGTTTTGATGAAAAGTAAATTAAACTTAATTAAATTACAGAATTGACAAAAACATAAAATTAAGGTAAAATGATAAATGACGGACTAGCTAGAGGGTTCTTCTCCACACATGACACATATGCAACCTAAATTGATTTTCAGTTGTTCTTTCAATAAATTGTGAATCTCAATACTCCAGATTAACCGTGAATAGCACTTTTTAATCTTCAAGTTTTCCTTAAGTTATTGAATTGGACGGAAAAACGCATACAACAATTCAAAACATTCTTCAAAAGTCCCCTACGTGAAAAGCACAATAGAGATACAATCAAAGATCATTAAACTTTGTGAAAACTATAAGCATTGACGAGGCATTCGTAACTATGAAAAGCACGATACTCTTGCCAAGAATTTACTTAACGTGATTGTGACTAGCAACCTTTACTACTTGTGAAAATAAGTTCATAACGATTAGGTGAAATTCACTTATATTCTAGCATCAAATTCATGCATGTAAATTAAGCGTGCACTCTCAACCAACATACACAAATCAGTTTTTATACGAACGGATAAGTAAATTGAAATCACAACTTATGAAATCACAACCGAAGGTAATCAATTCATATTACAAATATATTCATGGTTTCGACTTAACCTCTAGCCAAAATAAAATTAATTACACATTATTAAAACAAAAATAAAATAGGAGTTTGGAAAGATTAAACCGAAAGAAAAGGCTTCTGCTTTCTGTGCTCTGACCAACTCTTGCTGTGCTCTCCTCTCCATTCCGTGGACTTGGCTTCTTCTCTCTGACTTCGCTGCCAAAGGGCAGCGTTCTTCCCCCAGCTCTCAGTCAGTCCGCCTCTCCCTATTGCCCACGCTGCCCAAGGGCAGCCCTCCTGCTTTCCCACGCTGGTTTTCAAACTGCCCCCGTGTTTCCCTCCTCTCTGACCTCCTGACCTTCCCAAGCTGCCAAAGGCAGCTTTCCTCCTGATTTTTTTTTATTTCTTTCCTATTTTCTTTTTCTGCTTCTGGCAGCAAGGCTGCCTTTCTCTCTATCCCGTACTCACCTTTCCTGCACCTCCTGCGCACTGCTGCCAAAGCAGCCCCCCCCAGTCTCTCCGCTTGTCTCTGCGAGCTGCCCAAAGGGCAGCTCCTTTCTCCCCCTCCCAGACCCCCCCTTTTGCACAATCTACTTCTCCTTCTTTTATTCTTTTCTGACCTCTTGTTCTCTGCTTTTGACTCCTTGGATTCCTTCTCCGCGTCCAGCTGCAAAGCAGCTCTCCCTCTTGGATCCCTTTCACGTTTTCTGCTTTTCTTTATTGCTCACGCTGTCTCTCCACTTCTTCTATTTAATTTCTCAGTGCTTTCCACTTTCTTCTCCTACAAACACAATAAATTAAAAGTATCATAAATACTTAAAGCTTTAACTAAATTAGACAAGACAAGAAAAGAAATATAAAAGGATGAAATATATAGTTTAAATATTGGTTTATCATTTAGCGTCACAATGGGTTGGCAATATTGTAATTTAAATTTGCTTTTGACGAATTTATTACATAAAATTTCACTTGTTCTATTTTTATTTTCTTTGCATAACAAATCCTATAAACACAAAAATAACGTAAATAGCTCAAAAATATAAGGAACTAACTAAGAAAAGACGAGTGAATTTGAAGTAAAAATATATATAAATATTATCCGATCATATACCAACTCCCTTCTCTAGCTTTCTTTACCTTGATTCGAGGGCCACCTTATTAACTCATTTTTCCTTGGTTTACAACAGGGTCCTGGAAAGGGTTTGGGCCAATCTCCTCCGCCCTTGGTACACAAAGCGGCTCACCCAAGGCCTTATTTGGCATCTGGGGTTACGGGGATCCTTATCCCTCAGCCTAAGAAGAAAGCCAAAACTGCTGCTACCTCTACTCTTCAAGCTTCTCTTTCTGCTAAAACTACTTCTATCGCTGCAACCTCTGAATGAGCTGGAATGATGCCCCTACCCCTTGCACCCATCTTTGTAACAGCATCCTTGCTTGAGGTTTTTAAAGAGTTCAGGCAACTTAAGACTAGGCTAAGGTCTTCAAGTCATTCCTCCAAGCCTCAAGGCTTTTAGGATCAACGCTGAATCTTCCAAGAGTGGGCTAGGATGGGCTTCTCAACTTCCTTTAGTTCAAGGCTCTCCAAGATGTAGAGACTGCTATTACTGAATTACACAAAGCTGATCAATTATCAAAGGTTCAGTACGAGTTTTTCGTCTCCTATTTTGAGAACTTGAGGGCTCTGAGGGATCAGCATCAGTGGGCTGATAGGCAAGCCAATTGAGTGAGGTGCTTCAATGAGAAATAATCCAGAACTTCGGCTCATATTCAACAAATGGTGGATGAAGGTTCAGCCACACAAGATAGGATCAAGATGGTGAAATATGAGATCTAGAAGTTAGAGGAGCAACTTCTGTGCTGAAGGCTAAACAAGTGACTCTTCTCAGTAAACTTCATCAACAAGTTGAAGAGGTGCATAAGGCAAATCTGGATATGGAGGATGCTGAGTCTCAACTTGCCAATAGTAATACTATCTTACTCGAGCCTACCAGAATCTTTACAATTATGCAAACTTATTATTCCAGAATAATAACTTTGGGTGAAGATGTAAATTTTTTAGGCTAGGGTCATTGTAACTTCCCTGCTTATGAAATGAAATAATTTTTATTTATTTTTTTACTTTTACTTGTCTTACTTTACTTTATAAACTATCTTCAATTTTTCTTAACCTGCTTGAATCCCCTCGATATAACAATCTCTTGCATCCTAGAAAGTTGGATGATATTTCTTTAAAAACTTAGCATTGATTGGATGCCTTTGCAAGTTCTGTTCTAAATCTGCCAAGAATATCCTCCCTTATCTAATACTTGGTTGATAGTGAAGGGGCCTTTCTAAGTGGGACTCCACTTCCCAAAACCTCTAACTTGAGCTCCTAAGGTCAAAATTGCTTTCCACACTAATTCCCCTTCTTTGAAGGCTTTTATCTTTACCCTTTTGTTATAAGCTCAAGCAACAATTTTATTTCCTTCTTGAATTTTGTTTAAAGCTTCAATTCGGGCTACATCTAGATCTTCAACTCCTTGACACATAGCTTGAATGTATTCTTCACTGTGTAACCCAAACTGGTTTTGAATTCTAACAGAGCTCACATTAATTTCCACAGGGGGTAAAGCATCTTGCCCGAAGGTTAAGGCATAAGGAATAGTTTTAGTTCCTGCCCTCTTGGAAGTTTTGTATGCCTACAAAGTGTTTCCCAACTTCTCATGCCATTTCTCTGGACTATCTGCCACAATTCTTTTAATAATACTCACCAAGACCTTGTTGCCGGCTTCTGCTTGACCATTTGATTGGGGGTAATAAGGACTAGATCGGATTATCTTTATCTTGAACTTGCTTGCAAATTCTTCTACTTCTTTTGAAATAAAAGATGGCTTGTGGTATGTAACAATTGTCTCGAGCACCCCATATCTATGTAAGATCTTGGTTTCAATGAACTTCATAACAATAGTTGAAGTGATAGTCTTCACAGCTGAAGCTTCTACACACTTGGTAAAGTAATATGTTGCCACAATTATGAAAGTGTGCCCTTTGCTAGAAGCTGGGTAAATTTGTCCGATGAAGTCCATAGCCCATCCTCTAAAAGGCCAAAGCTTGACCACATGATTCAAGGGTACTAAGGGCACATGTTGGAGAGGTTTATGCCTTTGACATTCTTCACACCCTCGGGCATAAGCTTTTTAATCATTCTCCATCTCGGGCAAGAAATAGCCATATTTTCTAAGTAACCATCTAATCTTAGTTCTAGCTTGATGTGCCCTACAGATTCATTCATGTACTTTAACCATTACTCTCATTGATTCTTTTTGGCCAAGGCATTTCAACAACAGTCTATCTGGAGTCTTCCTTAGCATAGACTTGTCCCACATGACATACTTATTTGCTTGTTGTCTATTCTTTTTACTTGTGGGGAAATAAAGATCCATCATGTACTGAATAAGAGATGTTATCCAGTTTTCTATTTCTATTTTTTCAGTCATTACATCTAGGCTGAACCTTTTTCAAAGATAGAAGGGATATTTCTCATTTGAACTTCCACATCTACTTCGAACTTTCTTTCTTGGATCTGTGTTTCAGAGACTACCTGTGTCATCTCATTGGCAATGGAATTTGATTATCTGGGGATGTGGTTGACTGATATTTCAGTACCCCAATAGCTTAATAGTTACGTTGATGCTAAATACTAACCAGCCATAGTGATGTGTCTGCCCTTGTATTCCCCATTTAGCTGATTGATCACCAACTCTGGATCATCAAACACTTCAACTTCAATTGCCCCCAACTCTATCAAGATTTCCAGGCCAATTATCAATGCCTCATACTCTGCCCGATTGTTGGTAGTATCTTAATAATCCAGGAGGAAGGAATAACAATGGTGAACACCCTTGGGATCAATAATGACGATTCTAGCTCTAGCAGCGTTTTAAGTACATGACCCCATCAAAATACAGCCTCAAATGAGTGATCTAGAGGCTGGTTATCCTTTTTAATTCTTGTTGAATCCATTCCTATTTGCCCAAGAGAGCTTTGCTTGGCGGAATCCAAAGACTGGCCACCTCTAGAGTTCCTGGGATGTTGACTAATTCATCTTGTGGTTCTTGGTGCTCGGCTAGGAAGTCTACAATTACTTGCCCTTTTATTGCTCTTTGAGGCACATATTGAAAGCTGAACTTTGACAGTGCTAGAATCCATTTTCCAATCCTCCCAACTAGCATTGGTTTTGACAACATGTAGTTGATTACATCTGTCTTAGCAATAATGTGGACATGGCAAGGTAACATATAATGCCTTAGCTCGCAGGCAGTGAAGTACAGAGCCAAACACAATTTCTCCACTAGGGTGTATCTTGTTTCCACCTTAGTAAGGATTCTACTGAGGTAGTATATTGCTTGCTCTTTCCCACCTTCATTGTTTTGGGCCAACAAGCTTCCTATTGACTTTTTAGAGGCAGAAATATAAAGCTTTAAAGGCTTCCCTTGCTGAGGTGGCATAAGCACCAGTGGAGAGGCTAAGTAAGTCTTTATTTTGTCAAAGGCCTCTTGGTGTGGTGGGCCCCACTCAAATTCTTCTTTATCCTTTAATCTCAACAGATGAGTTAACGACTGAATCTTTCCCGCCAAGTTAGCAATGAATCTCATTAGGAAGTTGATTTTCCTCAGTAACCTATGCATTTGTACTTTATTGGTGGGAAGGTGATTCCATTATTGCCCGAGCCTTGTTTTTGTCGACCTCTACCCCTATTTGATGAACAAGGAACCTCAAAAAGTTGCTTGATTTTACCCCAAAAGCACATTTCTTAGGTTCATTTTCAACTTATGGGTCCTCATTCTTGTTAAGGCTTGTCTGAGGTCTACTAGGTGTTGTTCTTTAGTTTTATACTTCACCACGATGTCATCAATGTATACTTCCATGCTATGGCCAATCAAGTCATGAAAAATAGCATTCATTGTTCTTTGATAAGTTGCACCAACATTTTTAGTCTAAATGGCATTACCATTACCAAGTATTCATATGCTTTGACATGTCCTGGGCATCTAAAAGTTGTTTATGTATTTCTTCTTTAGCCATTTTTATCTGATTATAACCAGCATTCCCATTCATGAAAGATAAAACTTTGTGTTTTGCAACTGCATCTATGGATAGGTCAGCCATGGACATAGGGTATTCATCTTTAAGCATGGCTCCATTAATGTTTCTATAGTCAACACAACACCAAACTGCATTAGTTATAACTTTTAATATAGGTATAATGTTGGCTAACCACTCAACATACTTGATAGGCCTAATAAATCTAGCCTTTTAATCTTTTCTTTGACCTTTTCTTCTATCTCTTTTGACTTCCTTTGTGGTGCTTGCTTTATAGGTTTATATCCCTCATTAATAGGCATTCTATACTCTACTAAGGTTGAATTTAAACCTGGCATTTCAATGTAATGCCAAGCAAAACAGTCTTTAAACTTGTGCAAAAGGCTAACTATTTTTGCTTGATCTTCAGCTCCTAATAGGCCACTGATCTGTAGAGGCCTTGGATCCTCCTTAGTCCTTAAATCAATGGTTTCTAAGGCCATCTCCAACTGAAGGGTCCAGAAGGCCAGAGGGCTGAAAATAGCTCAAAAGCCATCTCCAACCGAGGGCTAGGCCAGAGGTCTCATGTACCCCACGTAATCTGAAAGGGCCAAAAGGCCAAAGGGCTGGCCAGAAAATCAGAGCAATCCTATCGGTTATAACCGACAGGATTGCTTAAAGAAAATTTTGAATCTAATGACTAGCTGACGCTAGTTACCGTTGGATTCAATTTTTTTTTTTTGGGGTTTTTTGGGCCAATTTTTTTTTTTTTTAAATTCTAAAAAATTCTAATTTTTTTTCCTATAAATACCTAAACCATTCATTCACCATTCCTCACAAAATTTTCATCATTTCAATTCTCATATTTTCTTTCCTCTTTCAAAAATCTATCCTTCAATTTTTTCAATAATTTTCAAATTGCCTCGTCTACAATGAAAGGTAGGGCTTGGAGCCAAAAAGAAGATGAAGCTCTTTGCAAGGCTTATAGATGGGTGTCGGAAGATAGTGTGAGGGGGAATTGTCAAACAAATGACGATGTTTGGACTCATGTGTCCAAAAAATACTTAGAGTTCTAAGAAGGCACCACTTTACTGAATATCTGAAACCACGAGAGTTGTTCTTCAAGATGGAAGAAACATCTTCAACCAAGTGTGAACAAATGGTATCAAGCATTGTTAGCAGCTGCAAGTAGACATGAAAGCGGTGCTAATTACTCCGCCTATGTAATTTTACATTGCCGGTCCCAAGCCCGGATAAAGGAGGAGGGGGAGGGCGTCAGGTAGTCGACAGCCGGCACTCCATGATCACGTCGAATCCTTATGAAAATGAATCCAGAACAAAATCGCGCTAAAGCTAGGGCGTCACCCGTAAGTGGCGCGCTGTGTGGCCTGAGCACAGTGATAAGTGAGCAAGGGTCGCTGTATCTCCATCGGCACCCGGATGCAGTGTTAAATGAGCAAGGGGGCCGTAGAAACTTCTTTTCGAACGACTCCACTCAAAGTTGTTTGGGAGCATATGCTCCTATCAACTTTACACGGGACACACAAAAGAAGTACTTTGATCCTATTAGACGGGGGAGGGTGAAGAAGCTAGGACAGAAGGGTAGAGTTCAAGAGAGCAAAATGCGTTTAGGAACGTGGAATATAGGAACCTTAACGGGAAAATCTATGGAAGTAGTGGAAGTTATGGTGAGGAGAAGGATAAATATTATGTGCCTACAAGAAACTAAGTGGGTTGGTAGTAAGGCAAAGGATCTAGAAAACTTAGGGTTTAAACTTTGGTATTCGGGCACAAATAGAACGAGAAACGGTGTTGGCATCATCGTGGACAAGACCTTGACACAAGATGTTGTAGATGTCAAGAGGGTAGGAGATAGAATCATGGCAATCAAGATTGTAATAGGACAAGAACTTATCAATGTGATTAGTGCGTACGCACCTCAAGTAGGGTTGGATACGAGTTCGAAGGAGAAATTTTGGGAAGACCTTGGAGACTTGGTGCAAGGAATTGCTCAGACGGAGAAGTTATTTATAGGAGGAGATCTAAATGGACACGTGGGCAGGGAGACAGGCAACTATGGAGGTTTTCATGGTGGCCATGGTTTTGGGGAGAGAAACGAGGATGGGGAAGCTATCTTGGATTTTGCAATGGCATATGATCTCTTCTTAGCCAACACCTTCTTTAAGAAGAGAGAAGAACATGTGATCACCTACAAGAGTGGGTCGTCAAAAACACAAATAGATTTTCTTCTAATGAGGAAAGGGGATCGTATAACTTGTAAGGATTGCAAAGTTATACCAGGAGAGAGTGTGGCTAATCAACATCGCTTGTTGGTGATGGATGTACATATCAAAAGAGGGAGACAAAAGAACAACAGAGACTTGGAAGTGCCCAAGGACTAGATGGTGGAATCTAAAAGAAGAAAAAACAAGCAATTTTCAAAGAGAAGGTAATCACCCAATGTGTGTGGGATAGAGAGGGGGAAGCTAGCCAAATGTGGGATTCCATGGCTAGTTGTATCCGAAAAGTAGCAAAAGAGGTATTAGGAGAGTCCAAGGGCTTTGCCCCACACCAAAAGGAATCTTGGTGGTGGAATGAGGAGGTACAAACAAAGGTGAAGGCTAAGAAGGAATGTTGTAAAGCCTTATACAAGGAGAGGACTGATGAAAATGGTGAAAGGTATAGAAAAGCGAAGCAAGAGGCGAAGAAAGCGGTCAGAGAAGCTAAGTTAGCGGCTTACGACGATATGTATAAACGACTAGATACCAAAGAAGGAGAGTTGGATATCTATAAACTAGCTAGAGCAAGGGAAAAGAAGACAAGAGACCTAAACCAAGTGAGGTGCATCAAGGATGAGGATGGAAAGGTTCTTGCTACAGAGAACGCGGTTAAAGACAGATGGAGAGGTTATTTTCATAATCTTTTCAATGAAGGACATGAAAGGAGTGCTTCTTTAGGGGAGTTGAGTAACTCAGAAGAGTGTAGAAACTACTCTTTTTATCGT